CAATGGGGCCTGGGTCAACTGATAACCAGCACAGGGGACTTGTCCAGGAAGAGACCAGAATTATTAGGGAGTGAGATCTGCTTTGTGGTTTCTCTCCCCTCTGAGAGCACCCATGTGAGATGGTCATCAGCGCTGCCGTCCCCGGTTGTAGCCAGCACGGCCATGGACATATGACTCCTGTGCAGTATAGTGAGCTGATGTGTCCTGTGACTTATAAAGAGGGAGGCATTGTGCCTTCACAGGAATACAATATGCACTTCTGAAGTTAATCAGTGAGAGTAGAGGGTGACTGGATAAAAAAGTATATATATATACACACATACATATATATACACACATATATATACTTTTTACAGTGCAATCCAGAGTTTTTTTATATATATATACACACACACACACATATATATATCTCACACACACACACACACACACACACATACACACACACATTACCACAGAAATTTATTAGATTAAGGCACTCAAGACATAATTGTGTTAATATTCTTTATGTGAGTAGAATACGAGTCTGACACACAGTAAATTCTAGAGAAGGATGTGTTGAGTAAATAAATACGCACTGTAGCCAGTGAAAGAAGGCTCAGAAAAGGCACTGGGGACTTCAGTGTCATGATACTGAATGCTCTCCTTGGAACTTCAATGCTTGTTTGGCAGTCTTGATGCTACCATCCAAAGTTGAACAGTAGCAATCAGCCTCACGGAAGCCAGTGATGGTCAGATAGGCCATGTTGCCGGACTTAGAGCCAGAGAATCGATCTGTCATCCCTGGAGGCTTAGAACTTCTGAGCATCACAGCTTTGGGGGGCAGCACCAGGAACCTGTTGGTACCAGCCTGCACCATAGCTTCCAACATTGTTGCTGTTTCCAGTGCAGGAGAGGGTGTCCTTCTGTCCCACTCATTTTACTTTCATTGTAGCTAGAGAGTTAACATGTCACACCCCACTTTCCTGGTACTCTTCCCTACTTCAGAAACCAAGTACATGGCCCAGCACAACTTTTCTCAATTATTTGAATGATCAATATCTTTTTCTTTGCATTCCTATTTATTATTAGAACATTCTGCGCCCCATCCATATATCCATGTCATCCTACTTGGTCTGCAAATTTCAAATTTAAGACTAATCTGTTGATTAAGCCTTTTGGCCCACCTCCCCGCCCACCCTCAGGCCCATACCCACCCACACAAGCACCTTCCCGTGTAGGTGCTCTTTTTCCACTCTTTAGTTTTTCCCTGACAGCCCATCTTCAGGAGCTGGTAACAAGCAGATACAGAACTGTAAACACACAGCTGGCATAGTTTTGGTTTAGGTTGTAATTAAGAAGAGATTTATTAGTCCTTCAGATGAAAATTCATTTTTATAGCATCCTTGGAGCATCGAAGTGTATATCCCAACGTGAGGAACTCAAAACAGCCCCACAGCGTCCCCTGCCGGATCCACATCACAATCCGTCCCCGTCCTATGACCCACCCGCCTGAGGAATTTAAGTACAAGAGTCATGATTTTGGATGGTTTTACTAATCACTACGGATTGCACTGGTTAGGGGTCCTGGAATATTGGTCCACACAGAGAAGAGAAGAGACTGTTCTGTCTTTTCTAGGATACACCTTGCAAAAAATTTAGTTTGTGGAATTTAAGCTGATGGGACAGATATCAAAACAAAGAGAAGTTATTTAAACAAAATATCACCCTGGCTGGCATCGCTCAGTGGATTGAGTGCCATCCTGCAAAGCAAAGGGTCGCTGGTTTGATTCCCTGTCAGGGCACATGCCTGGGTTGCAGTCTGGGTCCCCGGTGGGGAGCGTGTGAGAGGCAACCACACATTGATGTTTCTCTCCCTGTCTGTCTTACCTCCCTTACCCTCTAAAAATAAATAAATAAAATTAAAAGAATAAACAGAATATCACTCTTGACTTGCAGGAGAGGGTTAAGGCTTGAGGCACTAGGAGGATGACCCTAAGGGCGCATGCAAACCACTGGCTCACAGTGGCTTGTAGTGGCCCATGTGAGGGGCTGTGGATCCCGTAGCAAGAGGATGTTACTCTTTGAAGCCCACTCCCGTCCTTCCTCCAAGACTCTCTCATGTCTTGAACTTTGCTCATTGGTGCCCACCACGAGGTCACTTTTTCTAGGAGCTGACTCCCTTTCCAGGAACCTATGACAGGGCCAGAGTCGTGACCAGCTGGAAGCCAGTGTGAGGGCGGAGCTGGGGGTTTTGGTCAAGATCTCGTACACTTGCCTCACTCCCACCCCGCTCTGCTCCGTCCTCAAGGACTTTCCATCGGCTTCTCTCTCTGCCCAGCCTTTGATCCACCCCTGCTTGGCTCAGTGCAACAGTCCCCGTTACAGGTTCCATTTCCATTTATTTGATTTCAAGTTGAAATGAACAAGACTTAGTATAATTTAATATGTTTATGTGGCACTGTGTGTGAGTAGGCTATTGATTCTATTGGGTTTGTTTTCCTGTTGTTACCAATTTGTAAATGTTGCTTTTGAATCTTAGATGTTATTTAACTTTTTCACAAAAATCATTGTTTTCTAGTCTGCTACTTAGCTCAACAATTTTCCGCTGTGTGCCTCTTTGAATGTTTATTCATCTAATATGTTGTGTGTGTATGATTTTCACATTTTGTTTAAGATACAATTTCCACCATGGGGTTATGAAAGTATCCTCCTTTTGTGTTAGGATCTAATAATGAATTTTCTAATTATTTACTTTTTTAAAGCAAAGGCGTTATTTTTAGAGCCATCTTAGGTTTGCAGGAAAACTAAGCAGAAAGTTCACAGAGTCCCCATACATTCTCCTAAGTTGATGTTGTACATTGGATGAAATCGTAGAAACCAATATTGAGAAACCAATATTGATATATGGGTTTTAACTAAAGTCCATAGTTCACATAGAGTTTGCTCTTTGACTTGCACCAGGCGACTCGTTTTGCCAGACGCCTGTGTCATGTCAGCAGTCCAGGAACCTAGGGAGCAGTTTTACTGCCCTAAAAATCCCCGTTTCTCCCCTGTCATACCTCTCTCCCTACCCCGGACCTCCAGGCAACCACTCACTTTTTAGGTTTTTAACTACAATCTGTATAATTTGCCTTTTTCAGAATGTTATGTTGTTGGAGTTATACAGCAACTGTAATTTACTTCTTAAAGATTATTTTCTATGCCTTAGCAACATGCATTGAAGGTTCCTGATGTCTTTTGTGCTCTGACAGCGTATTTATTTTTAATCACTGAATTGTGTCCGATTGTAGGATTTACTATAATTTCTGCATTCAGTGATCACAGGGTATTTTCTTGGTTTCCAGAATTAACAGTTATGAATAAAGCTCCTACAGGCATTTATGTGCAGGTTCATAAGTGGACACCTCTTTCCAGCTCATTTGGATAAATACTTAAAGTGACTGACGCATCCTATGTGGTAAGCGTGCTTAGCTTTGAAAGAATCTGCCAGGCTGTCTTCCAAAGTGGTCCCGACTATATTGCATTCCCACCAGAATGATGGCTGTGGTTTATTTCGATTACTGGTTTGGTCCATGTGTTTAACAGAGTCTCTCTACTCTGGCAGGTTAAAACTCTGACATCCTCCAAACCTTTTATAAAATTCTTAAGGTTGAATCTAGCTTCCTACTTGACATCCCTAATGAATCTAATCCTCCTACCTCTGTTATTTTCTCAGCCTGGATAGCGGCTCTCTGACGGTGCAAAATTTTTATCAGGAAATTTCCACAGGCAGTGAGTACCTACAGACATTAGTACAGTATCCTAAGTTCCTACCCTCCAGACTTCTAGGCCAGCTCAGTTCTTGTTTTATCAATGACTTTCTGATTGTCTTTAAAACATGACCATTTAATTTGTAATTACAATTTATTAATTGTTATATATAATATGTCACCTGTGTTATAATTCTTAGAGGATAAATTATCTTACCATTCAGATGTTAAGTCTCTGGCACATCATTTAGGACAGCGGTCCCCAACCTTTATGGCATCAGGGACCAGTTCACTGGCTCACCTGCCACTCAGCTCCCGCTGTGTGGTCCAGTTCCTAACAGGCCATGGACTGGTACTGGTCTGTGGCCCAGGGGTCGGGGACCCCTGATTTAGGATACACATCACAGAGTGGAGTGAAAATCTGGACCCTTTTCTGGATCTTTGTCTCTGAGGCAAGAAACACACAGGCACACGAAGTCTGTCCCATTCCTCACGATGTCCGTGGCTGAGAGGCCAAATTAGTATCATCTTCCATCAGACATCACCCCTGTGTTAATTCCATTTGTGTCTCTCAGTCCAGGATAAATGACTGTGTTGGAGAGAAGTTCTCCTCTTGATGAGGATACTAACACTGCCAGGCCACTCAGGACAGCGTCTCAACATGGTGACGGGCCCAGTGGGATGTTGTGCCAACTGCATGAAGTCTTGTCTATAGACCTACGGTGATGGTACCTGAGCCCCACACTTCCCAGTGACCCCCTGAGCAGTTCAGGGCATGATGTTTACAACCATTTGGAGCAGCTAAGAGACCTGCTTCCCCTGAGCCCTAGGAGGAAAAACCCATTCCCAGAGACAGGCCACGATGGGCACGTGCAGATGGACGTAAACTCATATTCGGAGCAGTTTCCTGGGAGATGGGCTTGGGGCTCGCTGGACCCAGAGACCCACCGGAAGCCCTCAGACCACCCTCACCTGTGACTCAGGCCTAGACGCTGGGCTGGGCAGGGGCAGGCACCACCACCTCCTTCCTAGTCCATCCCGCCCCTGGAGGGTTACATAGCCTATGGTCCTGCATCGCCATAGGACTATGGTCCTATTAGTGCCTGCGTCGCCACAAGCGGGCTGAAAAGATAGTAACAAGGGAGACACAGAATCTTTAACTACAGACAAGAAGAAAAAAATTGCACCTCCATGCATCCTAGGAAAAGAGTTGCCAACTGAAGAAATGGCAACAACTGCCACCCTGAGTTAGACTTGGTCCCAGGCCGATCAGGGGTGACAGTCCCAGGCAGACAGAGCACAGGGGGGTTTTAGTCTCACTTCCCCACGACTCTGCAGCACTGTGTAAGTATTACTGTTGCCGTGCCATGTAGCACAGTAATAATCGGCCTCGTCCTCAGGCTCCAGCCCAGAGATGAGCAGGAGCCCGGCGTTGGCCGAGGCGTCTTTGGATCCAGAGAAGCGGTGGGGGACCCCGGAGCCCTGGTGCTTGTCTGAGTCTGATTTAAATCTCAGGAGAAACCGCGGAGGGCTCCCTGGCTTCTGCTGGTACCAGTATATATGGTAGCCCTCAACAACAGAGCCGCTGCTGAGGGTGCAGGTGAGTCTGGCTGATGCTCCTGGAGATGCAGAGATGGAGGACGGCTGAGTCAGCACAGGCTGCGAGAGGGAACCTGCAAACACATACACCCATTATGCCCTGGAGGAACAGCAAGACTGAAGGACATGTTCAGCATGTGGGGGGAGGAGGCCTCAAGGAGCCGGGGAGTCAGGTCGTCCCACCTGTGCAGTGAAGGAGGAGGCTGAGGAGGGAGAGTGGCATCCAGGCCATGGTGCCGACCCCCAGAGCTCTGCTGAGGCTGACAGACTGCTGATCTCTTTTATCCCCTGAGACACAATAGAAAGCATTCTTTATGCAAATTTGCTCCTTCCTTTGGCCAAGCAAATCCCTCCCGAGGCCCTGGGCGCCCCACCCCCCTCCCAGTGTCCTGGGCCCTGTCTGGGAGGGGTGGACCTGGGTTGGGCCTTGCCTGAGGCTCTCCAGGAGCCCAAAGAGGACTGGGATGCTGAGCCCAGTGAGCACAGATACCAGTAGCCGCATGCCTCTTTTCCCAGCTGGGAACCCCATAGACAACTCATCAGAAAACCACAGAGCCCCCGCTTCCCGAGCGCAGGTCCATGATGCCAGTGACCAGATGACAGGGGACTGACTGTGACCCTGCCTCCACTACCACTTTGTGCACAGCCCACTCCCTGCCCAAGGGCAGAGTGAGACCCCTCCTCAGGGGCTGCCTGCTTCCTCATTTCAGTCTGCTTTCTACGCGGGCCCCTTCAGCTAGAACCAGCAAGACCTCACCCCACTGTGTAAGGGGACTCCAGGGGATGGTGCCTCCTGCTCAGGCTGTACGTGGCGTAGATCCCACGCCAGCTGAGAACAGGGACAGCTCAGCCACAGAGTCACCGCCCAGGCTGCTCACGGCTGCACGCGTCCCGCCTCCTCCGTGACCCGCGCTAGATCTGCACACGGAACATGCCGTGCACGTCAAGGTGAGGTCTGTGGTGAGTGTCCTTTTGCATTTGCTCATGTTTTTAAGGTCATGTGGAGTCTCTACCATGTTTACAGCTGTCTGCTTAGGTGGCTTTATGATAGAATTTGGGTTTCTTCTTTAATCAAATGACTTGTTTCTCTTTGTCAAGATTTCTCCTCCGTTTCTGACTGCATAGGTCTTCCCCTTCTTATTTTATAAGAATCTGATTATTTTAATGATATTTAAATGTGTATGTAAAGGTTTTAGGGAAAGGGAGACTTATCCCCACTCCAGACCCACTGAAGCAGAACCCACATTCTGCAAGATCCCCAGCAGGTGCCTGTGCAGATTAAAGTTGGAGGCGCTCTGGCCTCACACAGACGCGAAGGCCCTGCTGGGCTTCTGTTGAGAAGGGTTTCCCTTGCTCAGTCTCTCCTCTTCCCGTGACTGTGTCCAGCAAACTCACTTCCTGTTTCCCCTGGTGAGCACCTCACCTCTGGACAGATGTCCCCCAGGCTTCCCACTGAGAACGGCTGGCATCTCCCCTTTACTCACAGGACACAAAGAAGTGACCAGGAGTATGTTGATAATAACATGATGATCTTTGCATAATGAGCTTTGCATAAAGCAAACATTGGAAACAATATAATAACCATATTTTGTATTAGTTCCTTCTATCAAAATGCTCCTGGCTGGTGTGGTTCAGTGGATTGAGTGCTGGCTTGCCAACCTAAGGGTCGCCAGTTCGATTCCCAATCAGGGCACACGCCTGGGTTGTGGGCCAGGACCCCAGTTGGTGGTGTGCCAGAGACAACGACACTTTGATGTTTTTCTCCCTCTCTTTTTCTTTCTCTTTCTCTTTCTAAAAATAAATAAAATAAAATCTTAAAAAAAATAATTAGCAATATTTATATGTTTGTATACTTTTTAACTCGGGGAAATGAATCTTAATTAAAAAGTAACTGATAAAATGTAGGAACATAAACACAAATTTGCCAATAATTTTGGAAAAGTTGAGAATGGAGGTTATGTAATGTATGCAGACTGGGGACTACGGTGATGCTAATTATTTGATGTGTTAGTTTCCTGGAGATGCCATAAGCATGTACCACCACCCAGTGGCTCAAATTAACAGAAATGTACTGTCTCACGTACCTGGAGGCCAGAAGTCTACATCCTGGATAGAGAGGACTTGTCCCTCTGACACACACAGGGGACCCTTCCTTGAACCTCCATAGTGAATGGAGGTTTTCCTGAGCTGGCTGGGGTTCCTTGGCCTGAAGCTGCGTAACCCCAGTCTCTGCCCCCACCTTTCCGTTGTGATCTTGTGTCTCCCTGGCCTCACCTGGCCGTCATCTTACGTGGACACCAGTCATGTCAGGTTAGGAGGCCACCGTACCCCTCATGGCCTCCTATTAACTAATTATATCTGCGAAGACAATATTTTTAAGTAAAAACACATTCTGAAGTACTGGGTGTTAATGTTTAATACATCTTCTTTGAGTACACAATGTAACAGCCAACATTTGGGAAGAATAATCCCTCCCCAGGTGTAATCCTTCCCTGACTTGGTGTAGGGACTCAGTGTTTCTGAAGGATGAGTGATACATTCATCAACAGCTTCTTTGTGCAAGTACCCAAAGGTGCATGGAGACGTCTTTTTAAGAAAAGAAGAATACTTTTATTCGATGGAGACTCAAGAGTTGAAAAATTTTAGTTTCAGGTAATAGCTGATAAGCCTAGTAGTTAATTCACGTAAAAAGCTATTGTTTCAGGAGCTGCAGGTACGGCCCAGCCTGACTCCAGGAGACCACAAGCGACCGGCCTTTGGGCTCCAGAAGAGACCATGAGCCGTCAAGGTGGCGTCCGAGCCGTTCGTTGCATGGAGAGACAGGCGGCTGCCCGGGACACAGTAAAGAACATGACTGGTCAGCGGATGAAAGGATGGTAGGGAAATTGCCGGACTGCAGCTTTTATCTGATTAGCCTCTTTCCTGAGTCCCAAATCCCTTATCTATACTTTTTTCCTTGCATTGCAGACCCCTTACCTACACTTCTTCCCCCTTATTAAAAAAGGCTGGTTCGAAAAGAAATGTAAAGCGGTCTGTTTGAGTGCCAGCCGGCCGTCTCCGATCGCGGGATATCTGGTCAAAGCGGCCATAAAGGTCCAACCCTGTCTCTGCTTGTTGGGTCTGGTAGGTGACAGGCAGCCCGAAAGCCAGCTCGTCGGGTTTCATATGGTCATATTGCAGAGAATGGCCGTGGGTGGTGGAGAGCAGACAACTGCAACTGGGAGATAAGAGTAGGAAAAACTTAGGAAGTGAATTTATGCTGGTCTATGATCTTTTAACCGTCCTCCCTAGAGACGGAGCCCTGGGGAAGGAAAACTCCACCAAGAACATGTCCCCTTTTTTTCCTGAAAACTAACGTGGACATGGAGCGAAGAGCCAGAGGGAGAGAGGGGGAGAGGGAGGGAAGCAGCAGTGGAGGAGAGGGTTGGAGGGTCGGTGTGCAGGGCCTGGTCAGAGAGCGGCTGCAGGACCTGGGTCCCCTTACGTGTGTCGGCCGCTCCAGGGAGAGAGGAAATTGTATCTATGACCAGGGTGAGTATTGACATGTTGTCACTGTGGACACATCATTAGTAACACAATATTTACAACCTAAAGAGTAAGATTTGTGAGCTCAACATGACTGTCGTTCTATTTTTTTGTCCTTTTATTTCATCCTTGCCTGAGGACATTCTTGCTGATTTTAGTGAGAGGGAAAGGAGGGAGAGAGAGAACATCAGTTTGGGAGAGAAACATGTCAGGTTGCCTCCTGCACGAACCTTGGCCAGGGACTGAACCCACGACCTAGACATATGCCCTGACTGGGAAACAAGCCCTGACCCCTTATGAAATGACACTCCAACCAACTGCACAACACCAACCATGAAAAACACTTTTGTCTTGCTCACCATTTGTAGCTGCAGACACAGTTTCATTTGGTACCTTACTCCTACCCTGTGGGCATGGGCAGTGGGGCTCTGTCACCTCACGGGCGTGGGATCCTGGAATGCCCTGTGCACCCTGACTGAGTCATTCCTTCCTGTTCAAGATCAGGTCCTAGTGAGTAGCTCACTCTGCAGGCACCTGCGCAGAAGTTTCTTAATGAAAGAAGCTCAGAGACAAGGTCTATGGGCCCAGCGGTTTTTGTCTCACTTCCTCATCATCTGAGCCACTGTGAGTCGCTGTAGCTGCTCCCGCTGCCATGAGGTGCCCCACAGTAATAGGTGGCCTCATCCTCAGGCTGCAGCCCAGAGATGATCAGGAGCCCGGCATTGGCCGAGGCGTCTTTGGAGCCAGAGAAGCGGCTGGGGACCCCGGAGCCCTGGTGCTTGTCTGAGTCCGACTTGTAGTTCAGCAGATACCGGGGAGGGCTCCCTGGCTTCTGCTGGTACCGGCGTATTCGGAAGGCACCAACATTGAACCCACTGCTGAAGGTGCAGGTAAGTCTGGCTGTTGCTCCAGGAGATGCAGAGACAGAGGGCGGCTGAGTCAGCACAGGCTGCGAGAGGGAACCTGCAGACACAGACATGGGAGTGAACAGGAGGGTCAGGATGCAGCGTTACTGGGTGGTCACTGGGGCCTGTCCCTACCTGTGCAGAGAGAGAGGAGCGCGAGGAGCACAGCGGTCCCAGCCATGGTGCCCACAGATCCTTCTTAGGCCACAGAGCTGGGGCTGGGCTGCCCAGGCCTCTCTTATCCTCTCCCTGGTCACAGAGAAAGGGCTGCTCATGCAAATGTGTCCCCACCCATAGCTTGTCCTCCAAGGGCACTGACAGGGTCTGGGGCCCTTGCACAGGGAGCCAGCCTGCTGGGCTAGTTTCCCCTGTGGGTGGGGCTGGGGGGAAGCATCTGCTGCACCTCACACAGGCCCACGTGCAGGGGACTCAGACACTCCCAGAGAGGACACACCTGCCCAGTGCTCCAAGGGAGCAAAGAGCTACCAGCCCTGCTGCCTCCTGTAAGTGCAGACCTGGGACAGTCTCACAGCGACCCCTGCTGGTCTCCTTTAGCCACTCCAGCATCTCACCTTCACCTGCTTACTTGACTCCAGTGCTTCCAGCACAGGAGGGTCACCCCTACAGGGGCAAGGCGGGTGCGCTTTCGGTGTGAGCATCGCTGCCTCGGGACTGCCCCGTGGGCAGTGGTCCAGGGGAAGCACCACTGAACCCTGCCCAGAAGGCCGTGGTGGCCACTGAGGAGCTGAGGGCACAAGGCCTGGATCTGAGAGCAAAGCAGACCCGTCCCCAAAGACGGCCCTGAGGAGGGAACTTGCTCTGGGTGCTGAGTGTGAACAGGAGCTCCCGGAGGGGACAGGGACCTTCACAGAGGAGGACGTAGAAGGAGGAGAACGCTGACCCTTGCAGAGCAGGACACAGAGGAGCCTCCTCACCCCTGGGGCTGATGCATGAGGAGCAACTAAATAATATGGGCGTGGGGAGGGAGCAGAGCCCGGGCATCCTCCGGGGACAGGACCACCGTGGGGCCTGCCTGCTACTTTGCCCCATGTGCTGGGACACTTTTAATCCCAGTCGGGCATGTCTTCAGAGCTGCAGTCATCTAATCCCCCTAATACCTTAGAGACTTAGCTCTGTGGGAAGTTCTAGGACAGCACTTGGGACAGAGGGACCTGGCAAGGGCACATTCCGGCGGCTGCCAGGAGCTGATGGCAGGAGGGACAAGGGAAGGGTGGGTGGGCTGCTGTCCTTAATGGGACTCAGAGAGGGGAACAACCTGACCCCACAGTGTAGGTTAAAACTCCGATGTATTAGAGAAATTTTAATATAATCCGTCAGGTCAAAGGTATTTATGTACTTCAGTCCCTCATCCATGTAATCCATCACATCTGTCATTTCTGCGGCTGGCCAGCAGCTCTCAGAAAAGACAGCTTTTTAGTTAGCAAATCCCACAGGCACCTGCAGAGATGAGCACAGTATCCTAAATGTGCCCGCTCCAGAGTCCCAGGGTGACAGCTCTTGTTACAAGAGCGACCTTCTGATGTCCTGCAGGACCTGATCCTGTACTCAGTCATTATGATTACCCACTGTAATTTGTACTCTGTCCCCCAGGCTGGTCTCGGCAGACACATTATTTGACCCTCCGGAAGAGCAGCTGGCCTGGCTGGCACCTGCTATGGCCGCAGCCTCCGTCCCGGAGGCCAGGCTCTCCATCGCTTCCCTGGGAAACCACGGGAGCAGCCTCTCGCCATGAACTTAGAGCCACTTACAAGAAGGAAACCGCAGCCACAGACCGAGCTCCCCAAACAGAGCAAATTGCCATCAGACTCGTCTCCGTGGCGAACACAGCTTCGTCCCCGGTCCTTGTGTGAAGCATCTTAAGGACAGACAAATTGTTCTCTCTCCCACACACTAACTAGAGGGATGACTTTCTGCTACCCAAGGCCCCCTGGACCCGGTAGGGTCTGTCAAAGGCCCCACATCTGTGCTGTAGAGAGTTGGAGACAACAGAGTTCAATGTCCCTTATGTTGCAGGCCCTGTGGCCCTGGTTTGAGAGAGAAGACTTTTCAGTAGATGTTGAGCCTGGCTAGAGGTGTCCCTGGTTGTGATTGAGTGACGGCCCAGCCCTGAGGACACAGAGAGGCTCTGTCTCACGTCCCCACGGTCTGTGAGCACCATGGGAGTGGCCCTGAGGCTGCTGCCCCACAATAAATGCAGTGACCAGCCCCATGCGCTGCCCAGCGGCAAGGGAGGGCTGAGCTGCTGAGAAGGGCCAGGGACTCACCCAGGGATCCTGAGCATCCAGCTCCTCCCAGTAGAGCAGGAGTCCAGGGCATTTCCTGGATGACATGGTAACAGGACCCAGACACACCCCGTCACTGGTGTTTCCTGCTGAGGGAGCTTCTGCCTTTTGGAGAGTCTGCATCTGAGGAGCTGGGTCTGCACAGGCCGAGCCCTGACTTCTGGAGGCACAGAGATACCTGAAAACGGTCCAGGATAATTTACACTCAGAGAGAGGGGAGAGCTGTGTGTGCATGCGTGTGTGTGTGTGTGTGTGTGTGTGTATGTGTGTGTGTGAGAGAGAGAGAGAGAGAGACAGAGAGAGAGAGAGAGAGAGAGATGGAGAGGGACTCTGTTCCATGCAGCCACTGGGAGCCACTTTCTTAAGGGTGGAAACATGAGGACGAGGGACCCTCTAGCTTTTTATGTCATTTCTACATACTGAAGGTGGCTCTCCATGCAAACCTATCCCTGGAAAAGGTCCTGTAAGACACTCCAGGGTCCCAGTGTCTGAAAGGCACTCCCCTTGGACCAGGATGAATTTGAGGTTGGAGGAAGGAGTGTGGTGCAGATTAGCTATGATGATTCCACTTCCTCAGATGTCCAGGTCTTGTGGAGAAAGAAATTTGTCTGCTCTCCTCCTGGCAGAGAAAGACCCACCACAGTGGGACCTTTAGGGCTCAGGAAGCACAAGGCAAGGGGTGAGGACACAGCTTCCTTTCTGTGTCTGACACCCCCACTAAGGCCCCACAGTGACCTGTAGTCCCCAGATGCCTCCCTGAGAGTGACCAGAAAAAAGTCCTTGCTTTTATTTTGGAAAAGGGCTAATGCACGTGATATCACTAATTTGTGTGAAATGTGTGTGCGGCAGAATTAGTCCTGATGTTCCTAGGAAGCAGCTATTGTCAGGAGAAAGAATGCAGGTGGCATGGGGTAAAATATGCCAGCCATCCCTCCTGTGTCTGTGACATCCAGCCTGACCTTGGTCGAGGCCGGGGTAATTCTAAAGAAAAACAAACAAATAACTTCTAGATACAAATATTTAAAGGTAAGTTAAACACATCACTTTTAGGAGAAATCATTAATTACACTGTCATGTTAAAGGGACTGAGGGTGGTAGGGAGTGGGCAACACAAGTTAGAGTGCGAATAGATATAAATTATGAAGGGATTTGATGTGTCTAATTTCTATTACTCTTGCTACCTACTGATGGAGCCCTAGTGAATAAAAGCTACAGGAAGAACCATTCACTTTGCTCTGAAATCCTCACATGAAGATGGAGATGAGACCTGAAGAGCCAGAGAGAGAGAACAGGAGGTGAGGGAAGCAGCAGCGGGGCAGAGGGGCGGAGGGATGCGTGAGGGATGTTGCCACCGAGAGTCCATGGAAGTTGTGACCTAAGTGTTTGCTGGCCGGCTGGGGTAAGCACTAACACACCGCTGTGGATGCATCACCCGTAACAGTAGATTCAGACTTCATGGTATGAGGCTCAAGGGTGAACATCATCTGTAGTTGCAGACTACTGTGTTGATTCTGGTTGACATTCACACTCTGTGGGCGTGCGCGGTTGGGCCGTATTTCCTCACGCGTGTGTGTTCCTGGCCCGCCCTGTGCTGGCTCAGGTGACAGACATAACTGTGTTACTCTTTAATCTTCCAGGGCACATCGATTGCAGCAGAGTCTCCCTTACAGGTGCTAACCCAGAAATTCCTCCATAAAAGTGGCTGAAACCCAAGGTCTGTGGGCGCAAGGGCATTTGTCTGACTTCCTTGTCCTCTGAGACCCCGTGAATAACCGAAGCTGCTCCCACTCCCATGAGCCGTAGCACATCGATACTAGGGAACAGTGAGAGTTAGCGATCAGCTGTAATTGGCACTGGCCTCCACAGTCAGAATCCTACCCAGTGATCGTAGGTCTACCTCCTTTTTAAAGAAGAGGAAACTTTTTAGATTAGCCTTAAATTAAAAGAGCAGCCTTAGAAGGAGATCTATTAGCACAAATGTGATGATAACTTTGAGAAAAAAATTGAAGATCAGGTTGATGAAAATGCATGGAGATTGATTATTGTTTATGTTTCCTGGGGATGCCATAGCAATGCATACCAAACTGCATAGGTTATAACAATAGAGATGCATTTTCTCATGTTCCTGGAGGCTGCAAGGCGGGAATGTAAATGGCAGAGCCGTTGTTCCCTCTGACACCTGCAGGGCACCCTTCCCGGACCCTCCCCACAGCTCCTGGAGGCTTTCCTGGAGAGTCTGGGGTTCCCTGGCCTGTAGCTGTAAAACTCCAATCTCCACCTCCACCTTAACAAGGAGACCTCATTGTGACTCCCTGTCTTCACTTGGTCATCTTCTTATGTGGACACCAGTCATGCTAGATTCAGAGGCCGTCCTACCCCAGCATGGACCCATATTAATTAATTACATCTACAAAGACAATATCTTAAATAAAAACACACTCTAAGCATTGGGTATTCAGATATCAATACATTTTCTTTGAGTACACAATGTAACAGCCAACATTTGGGAAGAATAACCCTTCCAAAAACCTTATATTGTATTTCATTTTTTTAAAAGATGCAATTAATTTACTTTTATAGGAAGGAGAAAGGAAAGAGAAAGAGAAGGAGAGAAAATGTACAAAATTAGTCTACTGCCTCTCACACCGCCCCCCCCACCCCCACCGCAAATGGGAAGCCCTCTGCAAGCCAGGCTTGCGCCCTGACCAGGAATGGAGTCGGCCAACTTCCTGTTCGCAGATTGGCACTCAATCAACTGAGCCACACTAGCCAGGGTAAAACCTTATATTTTATATATATTTTAAATGCATTATGTACACTTGCATTGCAATAAAATGTTTCCTGATAAAACAAACTTTACAAAATATATAAAAATATACAAAACGATGGTTTTCTCCTTACTACTTAGAGAACATCATTCGATATGACCATTCAGGGGGAAATGTGTTTGACTTCTGCCCGTAGTCCTAATTCAGCAGTTACTGGACTATAGAATAATTGGATTCTACTATCCTGGACATGTTTAATAGGTTCCATACCCACCGACCCCCAGAAGTGGTCCCCTGTGTGGGCGAGGTGGGTGAGGAAGAGAGGCCATGGGGAAGCTCAGGCCTCCTCATGAGGTCTCACTGCGGGGACTCTGCTTCAATCTCTGGTTCATCAATGGCTTCTATGTGCAAGGGTTAAAGGTTGGATAGACACATCTTTTTAAGAAAAAAAAACACTACTTCTATTGTCATATTACAGAGATTGGCTGTGGGTGGTTTAGAGTGGGCAATACAATTGGGACATGAGAGTAGGAAAAACTTAGGAAGTGAATTTATGCTGGTCTATGATCTTTTAATCATCCTCCCTAGAGACAGAGCCCTGGGGAATGAAAAATACAAGAACTTGTCCCCTTTCTTCCTGAAAACTAAAGTGGACATGCAGTTAAGTCCTGAAGAGACAGAGGGAAAGAGGAGGGGTGAGGGAGCAGCAGCGGAGGAGAGGGGAGGAGGGACGGTGTGCGGGGCCAGGTCAGTGAGCAGCTGCAGGACCTGGGTCCCTTTACGTGTGTCGGCTGCTCCAGGGAGAGAGGAAACTGTGTCTGTGACCAGGCTGAGTATTGGCTGTCACTGTGGGCGCATCATTAGCAACACAATATTGACATTCTAAGGCATAAGATTTGCAGGTGAAAATGACTGTCTTTTCATCCTTTTTTCTTTAAATCCTCACCCAAAGACATGCTTCTTGTTTTAGAACAAGCGGAAGGAAGGAGGAGACAGGGAGTGAGACAGAGAGAAACATCAATGGGGACAGAAAAACCGATTGGTTGCCTGTGGCACATGCCCTGACCAGGGACTGAACCCACAACCTACACGTGACCCAGACCAGGAATGGCCCTGAGATCCTTAGGGTTACTGGACAGCACTCCAACCAATGTGGCCACACCAGCCAGGGCAAACATGACTGGCTTGCTCACCGTTTGCAGCTGCAGACACAGTGTTCATTGGTTGCCTTACTCCTACCCTGTGGGCATGGGCAGTGGGGCTCCATCACCTCGCAGATGTGGGATCCTGGAACGCCCTGTGCGCCCTGACTGAGGCACTCCTTCCTGTTGAGGAACACGGCCCAGGGAGGAGTCCGCCCTGCAGGCAGCTGCACAGATTTCTCCATGAAAGAAACTCAGAGACAAGGTCTGTGGGCTCAGGGGATTTTGTCTCACTTCCTCGTCATCTGAACCACTGTGAGTAACGGTAGTTGCTCCCACTCCCATGCCATGTAGCACAGTAATAATCGGCCTCGTCCTCAGGCTCCAGCCCAGAGATGGTCAGGAGCCCTGCATTGGCCGAGGCGTCTTTGGAGCCAGAGAAGCGGCTGGGGACCCCGGAGCCCTGGTACTTGTCTGAGTCTGATTTAAATCTCAGGAGAAACCGGGGAGGGCTCCCTGGCTTCTGCTGGTACCAGTATATATGGTAGCCCTCAACAACAGAGCCGCTGCTGAGGGTGCAGGTGAGTCTGGCTGTTGCTCCCAGAGATGCAGAGACGGAGGGCGGCTGGGTCAGCACAGGCTGCGAGAGGGAACCTGCAAACACAGACATACTGGGTACTTGCTCAAAAAACTCTACCATTCTAAGAATTCTGAGCAAAAGGGGGTAATGTTGAAGGATGCCCAGGGTCCCCGGGCCTGTCCCTACCTGTGCAATGAGAGAGGAGCACGAGCAGGAGAGGAGTCCAGGCCATGGTGCCCGCAGCCCCAGAGCCCGCAGTGGGGCTGGGCTGCCCAGGCCTCCTTTTCTTCCCCACCCTCTGCCAGGGGAGGGGCCGTCCATGCAAATGTGGGTCCATCCAGGGGTTGCCGAGCCCCTCCCTGAACCCTGGTGCTGGAGCTCAGCTCACAGTCCTGAATGAAGAAGGTGGGGTTCTGCCTCACCCCTTGAGAGAGCCCTGGGGGGAAGCACCCACTGGACCCTTCAAAGGTGGGCTCAGGGGACTCTACAAGCTCAGAGTGGGAACAGCTGCTGATCCTCATCAGGAAGCACTAGCAGGGCCTCAGACCCAGGCTCCACTGAGTGAATGGTCCTCAGTGAGCAGCTGTGCAGGTGACTCAGGACTGTCCTACAGCGCCACCTGCTGGTCATAGGGCACACATATCCTCAGGGCCCAAAGCACTAGCGGCCCTGATGGTGTGTGCTTCTCATGAGGACACTGTTTCTAGTCACCGATCCATGGTCTGATTCCAAAAGATGAACCTAATATGTGATACAGCCATTCCTATTGTGGGTATTAATCTGACACAGAGGAAAACCCTAAGTCAAACAGGTCCATGAACACCCATGTCCGTGGCAGTAGTATTTGTAACAGCCAAGATAATGGAAAGAACTTAAATGTTCATCAATGGATGAATACATATACATGATTATATATGAATATTATCAGTTTCTAAAAATAGACATTTATGGAAATAAGCTAAGTGACATAAGTCTGACAGAGGATGAAAAATGCCATATAATTGCATTTTTAAGTGGAATTTAGAAATTGAAAGAATAGATAACGGTAGTACCTTGTAAATATGTAATAAATCAAAATTATCTAGAAAGATCTTAAAAACCTAAACATTCCTGTGAAGTTCAAAATCCTCAGAACACATATGTTAATGGTACTTCCTTCCGCCTTCTGGCTGTAGTTTGAAGTCACATCACAGTCTTCAGTAATGACCTGAGATTGAAAATCTGTGTCTGAGTTTCCCGGATTTGTGAGTGGCAATTTGGGAGAGACTCTGTCCTGGAATGTTAGCTTGATTGAATATGTAACAGAAACTCTCGAGAAGAATGTCATAATGATACAAGTATAGATTCTTCTCAACCTTAATATTGGTAACAGTCCCTCTTGGGAGCTTCTAAAAACACAGATTCTTGCAAGAACACAAGTCTCTGACTCAGTGGGACAACTTTGGGAGTTCTGGCAAGCTTTCAACAGTGCTCCCCTTTCAATGCTAAAGGAAATATTCAGGGGTCTGCAGGGCGAAATCCATGAAGTAGGTGTGTGTTTCCTGATTTCCTGGCTGGGGCCGACCACCAGGGGCAGGCTCTGCCGCTGTGCTCAATGGAGAAACTGGAGCAGGGGAGGGACAAGCAGAGGCCATTCTGGGCACCCCCAGTTTCCAAATAAATTAAACATTTATTATGAGCCCCAATGTCTACAAAGGGAGATGCTCAAGGCAGGAGTGGCTTTGAGACGCTCTCATTCTTCATTCAGATGCTTTCCTACAAAACTCACCCGGAATGGAGGCCCTGCTAGGCCTGGGGGTGGGGCTGACAGGACACACAGGGTCCTTGGTTTCCAGAAGCTCCCCCCCGCCGGAGGGGTGGGTGTGAAATAACAGGAAGGCACATGTATGTGGGAAAGAAGAACATGTGCTGTAGGGAAGGAAATAAAGCCAGTCCTAGAGGGAAGGCAGGACTTTACAGCTACTGCAAGGGTTTATAGCCCCACACACCTGAGGACACCCTAGGAAGAAGGTACTAGAAAGCCCCAGTGGTCAGACTGGGAGGCTAGGAAGTCTTGAGAAGGACAACTTGTTTAGGGCCCCGTCGCTGGTCAGCAGGAGGGGGATGACGTCAGCCAGCGACCCCAGGGCAGGGGTGGGCGTGCCAGTGCCACAGCGAGTGGACAGTCGGCGGGGCGGGGGCTGGTATGGGGAGGGGTGCGCGGTGAGCAGTCAGCAGGCAGAGGGGCCCTTGGGGAGCTCTAGTCGGAGGACGAAGCCCATGTAGGGGACCCAGGCAGGGACCTCTCTTCCTGGTGATGGAGCAAAACAGAACTTGGACCCTGGTGTCCAGGCAGCCACATTCGAGAGAAGCTTCTATTCAGTTCATTTAGTTGGAGACACTCCAGAGATAACGTGTTACCTTGTTTTGTTCACAGTGCGTGAGGCACTCGTCTCAGGAAATCACGCAATGACAGTGTCCTTAGATGCTGCCGCTGTCGGGTCAGCCCTTGCCCCAAACGCCTCTTTGACCCTTTCCCAGAGGGACCCACGGGTGACCCAGAGAGGCCCAGGGCAGTCCAGTTCAAGCTAGGCCACCATCCCGATTCCACCTGGGCAGCCCTATGTCCCCTCCCTCTTTCAGTGTGGAGGGTGAGGGGTTCGCCTGGCCAGGCCCACACACATCCCCAGGAAAAGCAGGTTGAGGGGGACCAGCGCCTGGCGAGGTGGTCACATCCACACCCCAGTTCAAGGCTGGTTGGCAGGACGTAGAGTGCGGGGCGCCCCTTACCACGGTTTATCCTGAGCCCTGGAGGTGAATCTCCTGTCCCTGGGGTTGAGCTCAAGGGAGACACAGGGCCTGGCCTGATGTGGGGGCAGAGAGTTAAATCGGTAGAAGGAGCCCCATGGACGGCCTAGGGGGCTCCCACACCTCTGGACCAGCTGCCTATCACTGTCATTGCAGAGCTGCCCTCGGGAAATGGGTGAGGAGATGATCGATGGGGACAACACTCCAACTCCCCTAGTGACCTGCACTTGGGCCTTCGAACCAAGAAGGTCGGCAGAGGGCCGGGGAAGTGTGGTCATTGGGAGGCCGGCGTCTCCAATTAAAAAAACCAAACCAAACCAAACCAAACAGGTGCCCGGGGAAGGCTTTCTGCCCTGTCTGCTCCCCAGGGCCCTGCCATGGTCTCCATGCAGTTCAGAATCTTCACCCTGCCCTGGGGCCCTGAGCTCGTCTCCCCTGGACTTGGCCTGAGAACCTAGAGCTTTCGAAGGCAGAGACTGACCGTGCGAGGTCGATGGGAAGTGCACGTGCGCGGGAGCCAGTGGGGAGGGGCCGGGCCTGGGCACACAGAAAGTAAACCTGGGGGCTGGCGTGGGATCAGGAGCGAAGTCCGGCCTCAGACTATGCTTCTATGAACTGCAGGCAAAGCCAACGTCCATCCCACCAGCAGCTCTGGAGGCTGCGAGTGCACAGTGTGAATGGCGGGGGCATGCGCCCGCTCGCACCTGCAGGGGAGCCTTTGTTGCCCCTCCATTGGTAACGGAGGTTTTCCTGAAATGCCTGGGGTCCCTGGCTCCTAGCTGCATGACTCCAACCTCAGCCTCCACCTTTATCTTGTGACCTCCTTGTGTCTCCCTGTCTCCACATGGCCGTCTTCTGTCATGGACACCAGTCATGTTAGGTCATTGGACCACCTACAGTAATATGGCCTCATCTTAGTTCAGGAAGTATTTTTCTATATCACCACACTCTGAAGTAATATATGCTATGGTTTTTTAACACACATCCTTTAGTATGCAATTTAACAGCCATATTTGGGAAGAAGAATTCTTCCCAAAATTAGTATTTAAAAAAACACTTTTAAATACAATGCACACAGTTGCATTGTATTAGCATGGTTCATGATCAAATAAACTTGACTAGTATTGAAGAGAGAGTTTCTTTCCTTAGGAGGAAATGCATTTGACTTCCATCCTTATTTCTAATTCAGCAGTTATTGTTCCTCCTGGACTACAACGTAATTGTCTTCTACTATTTCTAAATGAATTTCTTCCTATTTATTCACCAATTTCCTCCACTTTAGGACTCAGATGGTATTGAGATTTAACTCAGAACCTCTTCTTCTCCGTCTCTGGGCGAGTCACCAGCATTTAGGCTGAGGTGAAGCTCAGGTGTCTGGTTAAGTGATCCCCATACCTGGGATCATACTGGTGCCCACACACCCTGTGAAGCAGAGGGTTATGTCCTGGTTCCCATCTGGGTCTCTAACAGTACTGATCCCCACTGTACACCACCAGCAGCAGTCTCTGCCTCATCCTCAGGCTCAGCCCCCCAGAGGGTCAGGGCAGCTTTGCCTCCAGGAATAGATCCTGAGAACCAAACAGGGGTCCAGGAGTGTTTATTGCTTCTGTGGTCAATCAGTGTCCTGAGGGCTCGTGCAGCCTTCTGCTGGAAGCGGTGTTGATAGTGACCTTTGGTGATGACTCAAGTGCTGGATCCATGGGTGAGAGTGACTTGACTGTCCCTTCTGAAGACACTGTTAGAGAGGGCTCATGACTCACCACAGCCTGAGGACTGGGCTCTGATAGTAAAAACAAACTCATGTCAGGAATGAAGAATAAAGGCAGAGGATCTCTCCAAAGCCTGGTCTCTGAATTGTCCATGAACCTGAGCAGAGAGTGAGGAGGGTGATGGGAGGTGAGGAGTCCATGTCATGGCCAAGGCTTCCCAAGATCCTCTGGCTTCAGGCTGGTGCCGGTGTCTGGGGGTGTCCCTTATCTCCTCCTCTGCTCCCCGAATAAAGGGTGTGTTTGGTGGGACATCATGCAAATATGAAGTACAGTATCATGCAATTCACAGCCCTCGCCCAGTTGAGGCTTCTCTCTCAGGAGGAAGCTGTGAGCTCTGAGTCTGTTCCTTGAGAAGAAGCACCTGATGTCACCTCTAACTCAGCCAGTGAGCAGGAGCACAGGGCCCATTCAATTGGAACCATTTCAGTTTGTTTCAGGACGTCAAACTCTGAGGAGATCCATAGCGCCCCCTGGTGACATTCTCTCGAATAATCATGGTGGTGGGAATTACAGAAGCGATGATATAGGCTTCTATTTTCTGTCAATAAGTAAAATAAGTAAGTATATAAATAAATAAATAGTGTTACTTATTCTTGAGTCCCTGCAGATAATATTCCCTTGTAATTTTAACTATTGTATTTTTCCCTTCTACAATTTCCATTTGTTTTATTTTCATGGCTTCTATTTCAATTCTTAGTGTCTCTCCATTCCTAACGCTTGTAGTTTCCCATCAAATGGATATTATGATTGATGCCTAAACATATCTGTCATATAATGTCATCTGTGCCTTGTCTGTGTTACTGCCAGTAGCTTCTCTTTTCTCTGATTCTTTGTGTGACACCAGGTGTTTTTTTCCTGGATTCTGAACATTTTGAGAAATACATTAGGACCCTTGGGTTCCATCTCCTCTCTTTTTAGTCTAGAGTCTCTTGTGTTGAGCTGCCCCAGGTGAGGGTGTGTATGATGAGTTGCCACCGGCCCCAGCAAAGGTGGAGCCCTGACTCCACAGCTAGCTCTGTGTGCTCACACCTTCCTGAACACAAGAAAACAGTGACTGTCACCAGCTGGGTCCCATCAAGTAGGGAGTGAAACAAGACCCCTGCTGGTTTAGTGAGTTCCTGGGCTGCAGTGGGGGTGGTTGCTCCACTCCCCACTGGTCCCTTTGGTCTCACCACACCAGGGTGGGTGGAAGGCAACCCAGTCCCAACTCCTGTGCCTTCCATTAGATGCTGTTAAGGAAGAATAAGGTCATGGCTCATTTCTAACTGGTGATCACAGTCACCATCAGGGGGCGCTTCTGTGCAATCTAGTATTGGTCACAGTCAGGGGCAGGGCAGTGATGGGTCACCAGGGAGAGCTGGGCAGATGTTGACCTGACTTCCCCATGTAATGAGAGTCCTTGGTGGCATTAGGTTGTAGTGAGTCATGTGACAGTGGTAGCCAGACTCCTGATCAAGCTGGAGCCCAGAGGTGGGCAAGGAGGTCGTGAGCACCAACAAGGAGCCAAAGAGGTGGGCTGAACCACTGAGGGCCAGTGACCTCTGTCTTAGGTCACAAGGTCAGAGACCTGCCTGGGAGCCCTGAGGACCAAGGTTTGCTGCTCCCTGGGCAGGAGAAGGGGTCATGGACCCAGGCTCATCAAGAGCTTCCCAGGGGCAGTGACACAGGAACGCCCTGGGGATGTCCTGCCCCTGATGGCCCACAGCCCCGCCCACACCCTGGGGTGACGGAAACCTTCTGTTGCATCTGAGAGGAGAGGGGACACGGTCAGGGCCTCTGGGCTCGGTAAACCCGCTCACAAGTGTCCCCATGGGCCTGGGTGGTGGCAGCTGCAGGAGCATCTCAGCCACGGCCCCACGTCACCCACGGCCCCTACAGCGGGTCAACGCTTTCCCAGCTACTGTGGAGCCTCCCCACCACCCTGTGGCCGAAGGAGAGATTTGCGGACCTCACGCCCCAGTTTTCCCTTTGAGGACCCCCTTCCCTCAACTTCACAGCTGGCGTCTCAGGTCCCCAGCAAGGCCCACAGGTTAGCTCTGCTCTGGGTTCCTCCTGGGCCTGAGTCCTCACTCACATCTGAGGTTCCGGGCCCCGAAACACGGGGCTCCTGGGCCAGCTCGGAGCTCAGGGGCGCGTAGCCACGGGGCAGTCTCTGCTCTGACCCTCCAGGCGCAGAGTCCCTGCTGGGAGAGACTGTCCCCCTGCTGGGATGGGCCTTGTGGTGTGAGCAAGATGAAAGCCCACAATATGCGTTACCTCCTTTGAAGGAAAAGAGGGTAATCCCAAGGCTCTGGGCTTTTCGTACATGGATAACAGGCAGTATTTCTGTGTCATAAGGAATAATGTGTTATTTTTTGTTCATTTTTTGTTTTTCTGAGTAATGAGACATAGACTAGAGTATTGAGGCCACAGTGAAACAAATGGTAATTCCAAGTATAGTTTTCATATATACTTGTTATTTTATAACGTTTAATTTTCATGAACCAAACTCTGTAGGCTGAGGATTTTGTCCCACTTCCCCTTCTTGTGTGTCACTGTGAGAAGCATTATTGTGCCAGATGGTACAGTAATAGTCGGCCTCGTCCTCAGGCTGCAGCCCAGAGATGGTCAGGAGCCCTGCATTGGCCGAGGCGTCTTTGGATCCGGAGAAGCGGCTGGGGACCCCGGAGCCCTGGCCCTTGTCTGAGTCTGAGCGGTAGTATAAGAGAAACCGGGGAGAGGCCCCAGGCTTCTGCTGGTACCAGTGTATGTCATAAACGCCAACAGTGAAGCCACTCCTCAGGGTGCAGGTGAGTCTGGCTTTGCCTCCCAGAGATGCAGAGAGGGAGGGCTGCTGGGTCACCGCAGTCTGAGAGAGGGAACCTGCAGACACAAATATTCATGGATGATGAGGCATGAACCCAGATTAAGGGTCCCAGATTCTAGTAATGTTGATGGAAGCCCAGGGCTCCATAGACCTGTCCCTACCTGTGCAGTGAGAGAGGAGCACGAGGAGGAGAGGAGTCCAGGCCATGGTGCCCGCAGCCCCTGAGCCCGCAGTGGGGCTGGGCTGCCCAGGCCTCCTTTTCTTCCCCACCCTCTGCCAGGGGAGGGGCCGTCCATGCAAATGTGGGTCCATCCAGGGGCTGCCCAGCCGCTCCCTGAGCCCTGGTGCTGGAGCTCAGCTCACGACCTTGACAGAGGAAGATGGATGTTGGCTTCACCCCTTGGGAGAGCTGTGGGTGGAAGCAGCTGCTGAGACCATGGAAAGGTGGGCTTAGGGGACTCTACAAGTTATGAATGAGAAGAGCTGCTGATCCCCGCTAGGGAGCACAAACACAACCCTCAGACCCTGGCTACATTGAGTGTATAGGCCTCATTGAGCAGCTGCGTAGGTAACTGAGGACAGTCCTACAGCACCTCCTGCTGGTCATAGAGCACACATATCCCCAGGGCCTAACCCTGAGAGCCAAGCTTGTTACTCCATCTCACCAGGTTGCTCTTTCTAGACACACATCCATGGTCTGATTCCTAAAGGCGACTAATATGTGATGTAGCCCTTCCAATTCTGGGTATTAATCTGATGCTGAGGAAACACTAAGTCAAACAGATCCATGCACCCCTGTGTTCATGGCAGTAGTATTTATAACAGCGAAGATATGGAAACAACCTAAATGCTCATCCATGGATGAATACATAGGTATGAATATATATGAATATTACTCATTTCTAAAAATAGGTAGTCCTTTAGGAAAATAAACTAAGGGATACAAATCTGACGGAGGATGATAAATACCATATGATCGCACTTTTAACTGGAATTTAGAAATTGAGAGAATAGATGACCTATAGTATTTTATAAAATAGGTAGTAAATCAAAATTATCTAGAAAGCTGTTTAAAAATCTAAATATTTCTGTGAGGTTCAAAATGTATTCTCAGAAAACATGTGTTAATGGTAGTTTCTTCCACATTCTGTCTGTAGTTAGAAGTCAAATCACAGTTTCCAGTAATGACCTCAGATTGTGAGGAGGTCGTGAGCACCAAGAAGCAGATGGAAAAGAGGCTGAAGCCCTGAGAGTTAGTAACCTCTGACCTAGGTCACAAGGTCAGAGACCTGCCTGGGAGCCCTGAGGACCAAGGTTTGCTGCTCCCTGGGCAGGAGAAGGGGTCATGGACCCAGGCTCATCAAGAGCTTCCCAGGGGCAGTGACACAGGAACGCCCTGGGGATGTCCTGCCCCTGATGGCCCACAGCCCCGCCCACACCCTGGGGTGACGGAAACCTTCAGTTGCAGCTGAGAGGAGAGGGGACACGGTCAGGGCCTGCGGGCTCAGGAAAACCCCTGACAGTCATGAAGTCACAAGTCATGGAGGGCCCCTATGGGCACAGTGTCCAAGGTCAGGGTGAAGTGCCTGGGACCATGGGCATGTTGAAATGTAACACAAGATTCGCACTTATGACATGAGTCTGTGGGTGACCATGACTGTCTTGGTCGTCATTTGTAGTTACCGACACAGTATTGTGAGATAATAGAGAATATGTATTGGTCTCAGCCTTATGACTTTGAAGTATCATGGGTGACCGGCGTTATTTTTGTTCTAATGAGGTGATTCTGGGTGGGCTCCTGGGTGAGAACTGGTCATTCAAAAGACAAAGGCACGATTAGGAGCGTGGAATTTTCAGACTTGCTCTCCCTTTCATTGAGGAGGGAGGAGGGCTCAGGTGGAGTCAGCAAATTCATTGAAACCAAGGGAGGGACCATGGGAGCTTTTGAGATACAGCCAAGAAGTGTGCAAAAGCGGGGGACATTCTTCTTGCGATGGGCACCTAAGTGTGGGCAGTCCTGTGGGACGGGGTCCTTCAGCTGCGGACCTGACACTGTCGCCAGGCAAATCGCGTTAGAACTGAGTTATGTTGTGGGACATCCAGCAGGTGCCACAGAGAATTGCTTGTTGTGAAGAACCCCACTCCCATTTGGTGACCAGATGTGTCAGAAATGAAGGGTTCTGTATGACTACAAAGCAATACACAACAGTGGAAAAAACCTGAGATATTTACTTTAAAATATTTATTCTTGTTAAAACACTACTGACACTGGGCGTGGGGGTGGTGGTCAGTCAACTCTATCAGCCATCAGCACGAGTGATCCTGGGACACCTTGTGCCCTCACTCATCACTGTGTGTTACTCTTTCCTTCTTTCACGGACATTTCTAACTGCAGAGGAGTCTCCTTACAGAGGCCTCCACAGAAGCTTTTCACTTCGGTGAGGCTCAGAGCCGGAACCTCTGGGCCCAGGGGTTTTTGTCTCACTTCCTCGTCATCTGAGCCACTGTGAGATATTGTAGCTGCTCCCACTGCCATGCTCTGTAACACAGTAATAGTCGGCCTCGTCCTCAGGCTGGGCCCCCGTGATGGTGAGGGCGGCCTTGTTCCCAGAGATGGACCCGGAGAAGCGCTCAGGGACCCCAGAGGGCCGGGTGTTTGTGTGGTAGATGAGCGTGCGGGGAGCCTTGCCTGGGGTCTGCTGGTGCCAGCTGGGGTAGTTGCCAGTAGAGACTGACCCAGAGCTCAGGCCACAGGTGAATGTGACCGTCCCTCCTGAAGACACTGACAGTGATGGCTCCTGGGTCACCACAATCTGAGAACTGGACCCTGAAATAAAATCAGACACATCAGGAATGAGGAAGGAAGGCAGAAGCTCCCTTCCAAAGCCGCTCTCTAGAATGTCCATGAACCTGGGCAGAGACTGAGGAGGAGCAGGAGGAGGAGAGGAGTCCAGGTCATGGTGCAAACGTTTCAAGGACACTGTGGTCCCACAGCTGACACGCGGCACTCTGATGGCTCTTTTATCTCCCTCAGCTCCTGGGAGGAAGGGTTTGTATTTGGGTCATGCGTGATGCAAATCTCAGTTCCTTATCACCCCCGCCCTCAGTTTCGTGTGTCCTCAGCCCAGGGCCAGCTCTGCCGTCAGGAGAACGGCTGCTGTGCCTGTCAGCTCTGAGCTGGTCCCTTGGGAGGAAGCACCTGCTGTAAAAGACAACTGCAGCCAGTCAGTCAGCTTGCTGCATTTGCAGTCATTGAATCGGAATTTACTGCAGGCCTTGTTCACCTCAAGTGGGTCCGCAGCGCCCCCTGGTGACGTCCTCAGAAATAAAAGCAATAGTGTGAGTTATTCAGAGCTAATGTCCCATTTCTTTCAAATATGTTTTAATCTTTGAACATTCCACTTTATTTTCCAGGTATCACCGCAGTCATTGCTCTTCTGTCTTTGTGAACACTTGTTGGTACTTTTTTCTCACCAGTGTCTGGAATTCGATCTAAATGTGAGTTTGTTCTTCAGCCCACCTAGGGAGGTTTTTCGTCTATCTGGTGTCATTTTTATTTTGATCATCTTCCTTCTACTTGAATTTATAATGTATAAATTTTTAAGATTATCTCCTTTTACACTCGTTCCCGGAGTGACCATAAATTTTTTTTTTGTCAAGGTGATTATATGATTGTCAATAAAATTCATACGACATAGTTTCCAAATCTCAGTCATCTTGTGACTGAAAGCAGGTCCATCTGCCTGTTACTATAAAGCCAATAATCCAGATGCAGGCACTTTTAGGGACACATGGCTACCCTGAAATGAAATGAGTGCATGTTCCTGGTGGGGGTGGGGAAAGAGAGTGTGACAATGCTTCTTTATTAAGCTGGGATTATATTGTCTCAGGCTTGGGAAGGACGAGGCACCCTTTCAAACTAACCAATCAACTTCCCAATCTTTTCTGGGGTGGCACAGGTCCTGCGCCTAACCAATCCATTCCCTCCATCTCCCAGGGTTCTGTGTCCTGTGTCCAATCCAATCCTTGTCCCAGGATGGACACTCCTCCATATGGTTCTATCCATATGGAGGAGTGTCCATATGGATGCATCAGTAGGAACCATCTTAGTTCCTACTGAGCATGCCTCAAAGTAGAAGCAACCCCTCCGTGCCATATTGGCCTCCACTGGGCATGAATCCAGCAGAGGAATTTCTTCTGCTGTTTGTATTCCTCCTTGGGTAATGACCCGTAACGATCCTTCCTGCCCACTTTGTGGACTGAGAGGTCCCCTGGAGAGTGTGTGAAGCTGTAGCTTTCGAGCAAAGCTGGCCCACTGTCTCATCTCCACAGCCCATTACGTCCAACAATGTCTGATTCCATTTGCTCCCTTCCTTTAGTAACATCTGGTTACCAATGCTAACATAAGTAACATCCAAACTATATCACTTCTCAAGTAAAACAGTATTTGTGGTTTTATAGAATCTATTTATATTCCTCTGAATCTAAATTCCTTTCTATTTTTCTAATACAAATATATCTATTGCTAAAAGCTGTTAAATATACAACATTTTAATTTTGAACTGTATGTAATCTTTATATTATTTGCTAATGACTGTAGTGAAAAATAAACATAGTGTAATCATACCACATACAGAGACTTACAATATAAAAAACACCAAGTTGATTTATAGCTCATGATATGCAGCCACTAGAGATTTTAGAGTTCAGGTCTGTATTGATACTAGGTGTTCCTTTGTGAATGTTCATGAATTGGACACCCTATGAAAATGAAAAAAAATTTGCTTCTCTGGTAATCTGTAAAATATTCAGAGAGCTAATTCTTATTAGATTTAAGGGATCTTCCAAATGGATTCTGAATTATTCTTTTTAAAGTCAACACTAGAGACAAGGCCTTTGTGTACACACCTGTTAACAGGCATCATGACTGGTTTTGTCACTGTTGATGAATAGCCCCTTCAGCTAGAACCAGCAAGACCTCACCCCACTGTGCGAGGGGAACTCCAGGGGATGGTGCCTCCTGCTCAGGCTGTACGTGGCGTAGATCCCACGCCAGCTGAGAACAGGGACAGCTCAGCCACAGAGTCACCGCCCAGGCTGCTCACGGCTGCACGCTTCCCGCCTCCTCCGTGACCCGCGCTAGATCTGCACACGGAACACGCCGTGCACGTCAAGGTGAGGTCTGTGGTGAGTGTCCTTTTGCATTTGCTCATGTTTTTAAGGTCATGTGGAGTCTCTACCATGTTTACAGCTGTCTGCTTAGGTGGCTTTATGATAGAATTTGGGTTTCTTCTTTAATCAAATGACTTGATTGTCTTTGTCAAGATTTCTCCTCCGTTTCTGACTACATAGATTTTCCCCTTCTTATTTTATGACAATCTGAATATTTTAGTGATATTTAAACGTGTATGTAAAGGTTTTAGGGAAAGGGAGACTTATCCCCACTCCAGACCCACTGAAGCAGAACCCACATTCCGCAAGACCCCCAGCAGGTGCCTGTGCAGATTAAAGTTGGAGGCGCTCTGGCCTCACACAGATGCGAAGGCCCTGCTGGGCTTCTGTTGAGAAGGGTTTGCCCTGCTCAGTCTCTCCTCTTCCCGTGACTGTGTCCAGCAAACTCACTTCCTGTTCCCCCCTGGTGAGCACCTCACCTCCGGACAGATGTCCCCCAGGCTTCCCACTGAGAACGGCTGGCATCTCCCCCTTACTCACAGGACACAAAGAAGTGACCAGAAGTATGTTGATAATAACACAATGAACTCTGCATAATGACACTGGCCAACATTGGGAACAATATAATAGCCATAATTTGTATTAGTTCCTGCAATCAAAATAATTACGAACAATCATTATATGTTTGCATATTTTCAAGAAGGGGAAACTTTATATTAATCATAAATAAATATAGTAATTTGAAAAAAAGTAGGAATATAAGCTCAGATATGACAATGACTGGAAAAACTAAGAAAGGAATTATGAAAACATGTGGAGACTGGGGAATATGGTTATGTCAATAGTTTGATGTATTAGTTTCCTGGAGATGCCATATCCGGTACCACAGACTGGGTGGATCATGCTCCTGGAGGAGAGAAGTCCACAGTATGAGTGGCGGGGCTTGTCCCACTGATACCTGCAGGGGATCCTTCCTTGACCCTCCACAGCTAAAGGAAGTTCTCCTGAAATGTCTGGGATTCCTTGGCCTGCAGCTACATGACTCCGATCTCTGCCCCCACCTTCATACGGAGACCTCCTTGTGAGTCCCTGTCTCCATGTGGCCGTCGTCTTATGTGGAACCTAGTGATATTAGATTAGGAGGCCACCCTACCCCAACATGGCCTAATTGCAGATGTAACCACTTATATCTGCAAAGATAATATTTTTGAATAAAAACACACTCTGAAGTGCTGGGTGTTCAGATCTCAAACATCTTTGATTACACAATGTAACAGCCAGCATTAGGGAAAAATAACCCTCCCCAAAACCTTACATTGTAAAAATATTTTAAATGTAGTACATAAAATTGCATTGTGGAAATATATTTCAATAAAGCAAACTTTACTAATATACAAAAAGAGGGTGTTTCTTAATTACTCTTAGAGGACAAAGGCATCATTGGAAATGACCCTCCTTTGTCATTTCCAAGTGTCGGGGAATGTGTCAGACTTCAGCCCTTAGTTCTGATGCAGAGGCTACAGATCTTCCTGGACTATACAGTAATTGGTTTCTACTATCCGGGACATGTTTGACAGGTTCTGCACCACCTGTCCCCCCACAGTGGCCTGTGGAATGGGCGAGGTGGGTGAGGATGACAGGCCGTGGGGAAGCTCAGGCCTCCTCGTGGGGTCTCCCTGTGGGGACCCCGCTTCAATCTCTGGTTATCTGTACTGGGGACAGGGGACCCTCGGATGAGGTGGCCTCAAGCTGCCTAGGACACAGATATGAGCAAGATGAGGTCCCTAGAAAATAGGATGAAATGGGCAGAGCCAAAAGCAATGTGGTGAGGGACCAGGACAAGGCCATCAGGGGCACCGGGGTGACAGGTGCAGGTCTCAGGCATCCACGTGGGCATCTTGGGCAAAGTCCAGGAGCAGCGGAGCGTTTTCTCACCTGTCTGGCTGCCACTCACCCCTCTCTGAATCAGTCCTGCTAGACGACTGCAATGGAGAAACCAGGGGCCTTGCACGACCCGTGGAAATGTCCGTTGTCCAAGCACGTGAGGAAATGTTCTCTCACTGATTTCTGGTTTGTAAGGTGCCTGGTCTCAGAACTTCTGCTCCGTGTCAGTCAGGACGCTCTGGGTAAAGCTGGGCAACAAAACACAGCTCATAGACAGACAGCAAGCAGGCAGCAATGGGCCAGGGTGCAGGGCCTTTCCCAGCTGCCCTGATAACAGGACCCCCGTTACACTCATGTCACTGCTGTTTCCTGGTGGTGCAGATGATGCCTCCTGGAGGTTCTCACCCTGAGGATGCTGGGTAAGCTTGACACCTGGAACAACGGAGAGCCCTGAAAACTGCAGAGTCCAGAACAATCTGCACTCAGAGAGGAGAGGGGTGTGTGTTTGGAAAAGACTGCATGTCCAGCACACCCTCAGGGAGCCTTTGCCTCAGGGTCCAGGCGCGAGGCCTCTGCCGTCTGACATCCTCTCCATCCCTGAGGGTGGTTCTCCAGGCAAACCCACCCTTGAGGCTGGTTCTCTGTCAGAGCCTTCAAGGCCTGGATCCTGGCGCTAAAGAAGACCAGGGTGTGAAAGGCCACTTCCCTGGGACCGGGATGAATTTGAGGCTGAAAGGATGCACTTGGTGCAGATTAGCTCTGGGCAGAACTTCCCTTCATCGGAAGTGCTGGTCCTGTGGGGGCGGGACATCTGTGCACGGTCCTCCCGCAGGCACAGCGTCCTCAGCCGTGGGGGCGTCAGGTCTCAGGGAACGTGGGACAGGGGTGAGCACACAGCCCCTTCTTCCTGCCCTGACACCTCTGCCAGGCCCCA